CGCAGCGCAAACCAGGGTTCCCGGAATATGTCGTGGCGTACGCGAGCCGTACGCTTACTAAAGCCGAGACTAATTACACAGTCACCGAGAAGGAATGTTTGGCAATCGTCTGGGCCCTTGCAAAGTTCCGACCTTATTTGTATGGTCGCCCATTTGATGTCGTCACCGACCACCACGCATTATGCTGGTTGTCGTCATTGAAAGATCCCTCAGGCCGTCTCGCCCGGTGGGCACTTCGCCTGCAAGACTATGACATCCGCGTGCTATACCGCAATGGAAGGCAACATGCTGACGCCGACGCCCTGTCGCGCTCTCCCTTGCCTGACGACAATGCCAACAACTCAGTGTCTCACGTTGCCATTTCTTCGATTAGCATTCATGCCATTGCTACTGAACAGCGCAAGGATCAATGGATTGCCTCACTGATAGACTTGCTGACTGATCCATCCACTCCATCCACTCGCGCGTTGCGTCGTCAAGCCCACCATTTCGCGGTTCGCGACGACCTCCTCCACCGACGCAATTACAACGGTGACGGCCGCCAGTGGCTACTAGTCATACCTCGCAGTCTGCGCTCTGACATATGCGAATTCTTTCATTCTGATCCGCAATGTGCGCACTCCGGGGTATCAAAGACTTACCACCGCATTCGCCAACGGTACTTTTGGCGCGGCATGTACCGCTACGTGCAGAAATTCGTTCGCTCCTGCATAGAATGTCAGCGCCGCAAAACTTCAACGCAACTGTCACCGGTAGGTCTGCAACCTCTACCTTGCCCTGCCAGGCCGTTTGGGCGCGTTGGCATCGATTTGTATGGGCCACTTCCACTAACGTCAGCTGGTAACCGCTGGGCCATTGTTGCTGTGGACCACCTCACGCGATACGCCGAAACTGCCGCTCTCCCCGCGGCTACAGCGAGCGATGTGGCCTCCTTCCTGCTCCAACGATTCATGCTGCGACACGGTCCACCTCAGGAACTGCTCAGTGATCGAGGCCGCGTCTTCCTGTCTGAAGTCGTCGAAGCCATTCTCAAAGAGTGCAACGTTGTTCACCGCAAAACTGCTGCTTACCACCCGCAGACGAATGGCCTCACGGAACGCTTCAACCGTACGCTCGGCGACATGCTTTCCAAGTACGTCGCCGCCGATCACACAAATTGGGATGACATTCTACCCTTCGTCACCTACGCATATAACACCGCCCCTCAAAGCACTACTGGCTTTTCACCTTTCTTTTTATTATATGGAAGGCACCCGTCGCACACCATCGACACTATACTTCCGTACAAGCCAGATCCGTCCGAGTGGGCGCCTATTTCTGCTACAGCCAAGCTTGCTGAAGAGTGTCGAGAGCTTGCAAGGACATTTACAGCGCATGATCAAGAGCGGCAAAAAGAAATTCGCGCTGACGCCAGCACTACTGCGCCCACGTTCCTCCCTGGAGCACTCGTCTGGCTCTCGATCCCTACTACTGCAACTGGCCTATCTTCAAAACTATTGCCCAAATACGAAGGCCCCTACCGTGTCGTCAAATGCACTTCCCCAGTCAACTACTTGATTGAACCCATCGAACCATCTTCGGACATGCGTCGTCGAGGACGCGACATTGTTAACGTGGAGCGCCTGAAGGCCTACCATGACCCGCTCATTGTAACCACCTGTTAGGTCGCCAGGCGGCTCCCTTTTCGTACCCGGGGTAGTTGTGGTAAAGCCTTTGAACAGTGGGTCGTCCTCTTCAGCGCCTTCTAGTGGGTCGCCCTTTTCACAAGAAGAAGAGCAGCTCGCGCAGAGAGTCGATCCCCGCATTGACTGTCGCTGTCGTTAATCATCGCTGAGTGTCCGCCAATAAACCGCTTAACAATATATATAAATATATATATATATATATATATAAATATATATATATATATATATATATATATATATATATATATATATATATATATATATATATATATATATATATATATATATATATATATATATATATATATATATATATATATATATATATATATATATATATATATATATATATATACAATACGTCACATTTACGCATATTGTCTTACTCGCGTGGCCACACACACGAAGTAAACGTAGGCGCAGGCTGCGTTCCACACTGTCATTTCGAACTGCCACCGCAATGGCGGCGTTGTTTTTGTTTTGTGTACGATGAACCATGACTGCACGCGATGCACGGCTACTAGAAAGACAGCTGTTCAAATTATCCACGGGCCCAGAAGCAAAACAACAAAATGCCACGTCGCGCGAAGGCGAGAAAATCAATACCGAACCTTCTCGAGACTTGTGGAAAGTCGCATCGAAGAAATCTATTCGCAGCACACACTCGGGTATGGGCGCAGTAAATGCGCAAAAACTACCGCACGATACGTCTATTACAATAACTATACAGTACGCGTAATATAAAAATCTAAATGTCATATCTACTTTCTAATACTGTAATCTGGTTATCCATAGGTTCCCCAGCGCGAATGAATCATTGGAGCCAATAATCACTATCCAACAACCTTGAAGAGCCATCTCCCAGGCCCTCTGCACCCTCCTCCTCCTCCTCATATGTATTCCGCAGACCACGACTATAACTACACTTGAATGATTGTCCTGAAAGAGTGTCCTTTGTTTCTCCTTTTGAATCTCCTTCACCAATGGTATTTGAAGGAACGCAGCTACGTGGCAGCCTATCTATCTATCTATCTATCTATCTATCTATCTATCTATCTATCTATCTATCTATCTATCTATCTATCTATCTATCTATCTATCTATCTATCTATCTATCTATCTATCTATCTATCTATCTATCTATCTATCTATCTATCTATCTATCTATCTATCTATCTATCTATCTATCTATCTATCTATCTATCTATCTATCTATCTATCTATCTATCTATCTATCTATCTATCTATCTATCTATCTATCTATCTATCTATCTATCTATCTATCTATCTATCTATCTATTTATCTATCTATTTATTTATCTATCTATCTATCTATCTATTTATGTATCTATCTATCTATTTATGTATCTATTTATGTATGTACTTATTTATTTATTTATTTATCTATCTATCTATCTATCTATCTATCTATTTATTTATTTATCCATTTATCTGTCTGTGTTTCTGTTTGTCTGTCTGTCCGAAGAAGAAGATGGTGCGCTTGGATCCAGCGGTACTGAATGGGCGCAAAAAAAAACTGAAAAAAAATTAAAAGTTCTTCGTTTTGCCCGTCTTGTATATATATATATATATATATATATATATATATATATATATATATATATAGTAAGCACGCTCAAGCACAGCACAGATGCAGAAAGACAGCAGAAAATGTCAGCCGGACGTGCGTTAAAGTAATTCATTTCGAAAGTGCTTATTGTGACGCGTAGGAGGAATGTGGTGTTGCATATTATGTGCAGCGTGGATAAGACAGCGCATGACTCAACGCCGCAGGGAATAAAAATATAAGACCAATAGAATACGTAGAGAGACAGGTTGATCAGTGAAAACACCGTAGTTAATCACTGGCGTAAAACATCCTTACAAGGAACAGATCAATTTCCAATTGTTATAACAGTGCAAATTAGCAATTGTATATTTAATTTCCAGCCTTCCCACTACAATCAATCAACTTCCCGACAGACGCATTCCAGAACGCTTACAAATCCGTTAACTTTGCCGCGAAGCCCGTGGAAAACGACGTGTCATGTTGGCGAAGAAGCTCCTCAGTCAAGGAGTTCCTATTTTAGGAGGAGAAAAAGGTGGGGCTGTCATTAGAATTCGCAGCTTAGTAACGCAGCTAAACGGAAAAAGCAGGATGACAGAATGGAAGAAAGAAGACATTCAATCACAGCCCTGCACAGAATGAACAGCTATAAACTCGAAGCAGTTGCGGTGAAGCAATCAATTTATTTCCGGGGACGATGCCGAGGCCACGTCAGTTACTTGCAGCGCTTGCATAATGCAACGCATCAATTTATTACCACCGCTTTTAGTTTGAATAACATAGGCACATCATTGCGCCACGCACCAACGTTGGAGCCGACATAGCCTTTAGGGGCTCAATTCGGTGCAACACGAGGCGGGTATATAATTAATTAATTAGCTCGAGCAATCGCGTATACCACCAGTTTTATTATATGTTTTAATGTCGCCTAACATTTGGTAGAACGAACCTCACCGTGTGATTGTCAGTTGTTTTTAGGGACGAAGCTCCTTAAGGCGTCACCTGATCGTCCTCTGTAGTAACCACCTCTCTCGGATATGTGCCACAGGGGAGTTTAGTTTTTGGAGTGTCAGCTATTTGGCGGTACATGTATATAACCATTGTATGATAAAAAGATGTGAGATGGTAGTACTTGGAGTGCTAACTAGCCAGACGGACATATGGACAGAGAGATGGGCAAACGCACGGACGGACAAAAACCGACCCACGGTTGGACGGATGGGTGGATGCATGAACGGATGGATGGACACCGCCCCACTCATCATCATTCAGTCCGTGGATAGGCTGTGATTTTTTTTTTTTGCGCTTTGTTCTTCGCTAAAGTGCCCCGCCGCGGTGGTCTAGTGGCTAAGGTTCTCAGCTGCTGACCCGCAGGTCGCGGGATCGAATCCCGGCTGCGGCGGCTGCATTTCCGATGGAGGCGGAAATGTTGTAGGCCCGTGTGCTCCGATTTGGGTGCTCGTTAAAGAACCCCAGGTGGTCGAAATTTCCGTAGCCCTCCACTACGGCGTCTCTCATAACCATATGGTGGTTTTGGGACGTTAAACCCCACAAATCAATCAATCAAATCGAAGAACACTAGACGGTCGAAATTTCCGTAGGCCCCCACTACTGCGTGTCTCAGAATCACATATTGGTCTCAAGTCTTAGAACACCAACAACTGTTTGCAAATAAACCCCTCACCCAATCGCTCAACTCATCCGCATGCGCACACTTCGGGAATCAACAAAAGCCCCCAACAACTCACCCAAGAAGCACAAGAAACCACGGTCTTTCTTGGGGACTCCGTAATGACGACGACCTTCTGTGGTTCGCAGCTACGCAGCAGGGCTCGCACTCCTCTGAAGGTGGGTCGAACAGAATCAAGAGCAAACGAACTCCTACGAGGGAGACTCGTGCACTGGGGTGTGCACGGGCAGCGGGCCTTCGTCGACGCCCTGGCAGCCGACGACGACGTCGACTGCTCGACGCCCACAACGACTTCGACGGCGAGCGGATACGAAACGAGCGGCCACGGCGGCGCACTGCTAATACTAAGTGACGCTGCCAGAATATACGCTTTTCTGGCTCCCCTACGCGAGAGTCTATAGGTGACGGAAGCAGGCGCCGAGCACGTGGCGTCGGGGACGCGAAAGAGACGCTGACGTGCGTGCTCAGGTCAACATCAGCAGCTGCGTTAAGAAAAGGCGAGGGAGAGCCCGGTAGAAAAGTAACTAAGAAAGAAAAGATGAACGGAGGCGACGAGGAAGAGACAATGCAAGAAGAACATGTGAGAAAAAAAGAAAAAAAAGAGGGCACCTTCTCCGGCGAGGCACGCGTTGCGGCAGCCAAACGACGCAGCCTGAATAATCTGTCTAAATATTCCCTTTCATCGCCCGATAGGAGGACGCGAATGACGTAATAACGCACGCTAAAAATGATCGTGGTATAGAAGGAACGTCACGTTTCTAGAGAAGAAAAGAAGGAGGGAACGTCACGTGGTCTTTGACGCATTATTTTAGGACTACACGAAGGGCCCAAGCATCAGTTTTTTTATTTTGATAGTTTTTTTTTATGACAGTCGACTGTATTGATCGCCTACCCAAAAGCTTCTTTGCCCGGCCTCTGAGATGGGAGGCATTTGAAGTTTTTCGTACGTTACGTATTTTTTATGTCGCCTCCGTGATCCGTCCACCCTTCTCCACCAAGCGTCGATGTCACGTGGTGACGCCATCGTGTACGAATATTTCGTAATGGTCTCATCATGGTGGTGGTCATGAGGACACCATGATGTCAACGTCATTGACGTGATGGCATCATCAAAAAATTTGGCGAACTGGGACGTCATAATGACCGCGTACGGTGACGTGAACACATCATGAGTTTTTCTCCTCACTTGTTTACGCCGACGGACACTGTGTGCGTTTGGGGAGGCATCTGAGGCTTTAAAAGGGTACTGATACGAAATTTCGTGGCCGAGATATCTTGCATGATCGATTCCCGTGAACATGCGTCCATATACAGAATATCAACTGCGAATATATAGCTTGGAAGTCGTTTAAAAAAAAATTGAAGTTGCTTGAGCAATCGATCCCATCGCGCTATTGACACCCTCAAAGAGGACTCTTCCCTCGCGTAAGTTCGCTCGCGTCACAATGCTGCAGCAAGTTACGATGACGTCATAGCCGCCATTTTAAAGACAATAGTCTTTTTGGGGGACCTTCGACGCAAAAAATTTGGTCTGTCCGTACATTTGTCTGTTTGTCATTTCCTAACGCTACCAAAAAACGTACGGACGATACTCCTAACAGACGTCCCCATTCGCAGCGCCCACCAATATTGCTCAAGATTCAACGTTCATACTTAAAACTTATAATTAAAAAGCCATTATTGCGCATATCTCAGGCACCATATCAACACGTCAATATTCTGTATGTGTGTCTTTAACTAGAAAAGGCATAAATGATTCTAAGGACTGTAGCATTTATCACGTTGCGCTGACCATGCAACGCTTGCACGAAAAGGCAAGTGTTTCCAACGCTTAGCTTACACGATTGATTGATTGATTGATTTGTGGGGTTTAACGTCCCAAACCCACCATATGATTATCAGAGACGCCGTAGTGGAGGGCTCCGGAAATTTTAACCACCTGGGGTTTTTTAACGTGCGCCCAAATCTGAGCACACGGGCCTACATTTCCGCCTCCATCAGAAATGCAGCCGCCACAGCCGGGATTTAATCCCGCCACCTGCGGATCAGCAGCCGAGTACCTTAGCCACTAGACCACCGCGGCGGGGCTTGCGTAGACGACATGGTGGTGCCACCTACCCGTTGCCTCGTGTTCTACACCTTATAACTTCCGAGATGGGCGCGCACGCCGCGCGCTTCGTTTTCCAAGACTGATAGCGCTCATGTCTTACGTGTGACGTGACTTCATGCGCTCGTTCACTTCCGCTGCACGGTCGAGGCACTCTAACGCAGCGCCTGCTGAACACCATTCGCCGAGTTTTTTGCGTGCATGATCAAATAAACTTTCGACGACATTTGCAGTGTAACCTGCAGATACGGGGTCCTTTTATTTATTTGGTTGCGTGTCCTTGAGCAGACTATCACTCGGCAACTGCTCGCAGGTCCGTGGCCGTGGCGCACAAGTTGAAGGTTTTGCGTTCCATGACATTGCTGTCTGGTTTCCTGTAGAAAAAAAAATTGCTGATGCGAACCGCGCGGAAGTGTGTCACAGTTCCGTGTGCTGACATGGTCGAGCATCGCACCCGCTAGGTGGTGATAGTTGCACCTGGTGGCTTGTCAGTTCTGAAAACGAAACTGATGCTGCATAATAATAACGAGCCTTTAACTAATTATCTGTCACATGCCGAAATAAATGATGCGTTAGGCTATGACTAACAGGCTCCCAGCAACACATTGCTGCAAAAAAAAATATTCGAGGGCAAAATGTTTGTGTCAGTACCTTGACATTCCGCTCAGGTATGTTTGTGTAATGCATAAATATGTGCGTTTGTCTGTAAGTGACTCCCTAATTAACCACCACGGCTGCTGGCACCAGCGCACTCACGACGAAAGCTATTGTACAAAAAATAAACCTGGAAGAGGGCCATTAGCGGGAAGATCGATGTGTAGTCATCACAGCATCTTGACCTTTCCGAACCAGTACCTCAATTTACGTTTTTCCATATATGTATGTACCCGTCCATCTATCCTGCCATGTACCGATTCGTCCATGTATGTGCTTATGTGCACGTGGCTCTGCCCAGTCAGATGAAAGAAAATGTATTGAGTGGACGTAAACGGAACGACAGCGTTGGAACAAGAAAAGAGGGCACTTTGATGGCACGCCTTGCGAGATACAGCGCTAACGATCATTAGTGCGCACGTCTGTTTGTGTGCGTGCATGCTCGCACGCTCTGTCAGTTAGGGAATTCGAGTTGCATGTACAGGCCGCAGGAAACCGCCAGATGTGCGCCTCTCAGCTGTTCCAAAATAAACATAAGGCTTTGATTGTCTTCTTTCTTTTCTTCCGTTTTTTCCCTAGCATTCGTTATGCCTTAGTTTTTTTTGTTTTCTCATCCTTCCTTCTCTCGCTTTCTTATTTTTGTTTGCATTTATCGCCGTTCTGCAGCTGACAGCTTCAGCACCTCCCTCTCTGTCCATCTAACGGTCTCGCCATCGACTACCCTACCATATCTAACAAAAACAAATGGAGCTGATGTAAAGAAAAAAGCTTGACGTGTTGCAGTCCGGAGCTTTATCGGTTGGCATTGGCCGAAAAGGCAGAGCGCAGATGTATCGGACGAGATCCGAAGGCGCTATCCCAGGGAAATTTTTGATATAAATATGTCAATGCCGTCATGTCTTTGTAAAAGGTCATCGGTAGATTTCAGTGACTGATAAATCGTATTTGAAGTTATGAGATCAAAAGAACCTATGTAGAGCGCCGAATATACGTTACATTGATGCTAAGAGCATGCACCAAACCCTTAAGCTAGGCTAGAAATAATTATTGCAAAAACGCATCTTTTTAACCCTTATTTAGGCAGTTGCATTATGAATTATTTCTATATTGACCATATTTTTTGCGTAATATATTATCCGCATTTTCTATGTTTTCTTTTGTTGTTGTTTATATGTGGGGTTTAACGTCCCAAAACCGCCATATGATTTTGAGAGACGCCGTAGTGGAGGGCTCCGGAAATTTAGACCCCCTGGGGTTCTTTAACGTGCACCCAAATCTTTTGTTGTTGTTTGTGATTTGGATAAGGTGAATAGATTGCTTCTTTGTCGGCCTGTTTTTTTTTTCTTCTGAGAAGTTAATATTCACAAAATTGTGGAGCACTAAGCTATTGTGTATTGAATATAGTCTTTGACGAGGCGCTGCCCATGAACCCTAATGTTTTATCCGCAGGAAATACATTTATATACAAAGGGATAAGGAAATAAGAAGCAGTAATAGACTGCAGAGAGTGATTTTGCAAAAAAAAAAAAGGCGCCCAACTATTTCATCCACGGTTGTCTAGTGGCTGAGGTACTCGGCTGCTGACACCCAGGTAGTAGGTTCGAATCCCGGCTATGGCGGCTGCCATTTCGATGGAGGCGAGAATGCTGTAGGCTCGTGCGCTCAGATTTGGGTGCACGTTAAAGAACCCCGGTGGTTCGAAATTTATAGAGCCCACCACTACGGCGTCTTTCGTAATTATGTGAAGGTTTTGAGACGTTTATTTATTTATTTATTTATTTGTAAATACTGCCAGTCCCAAAGGGATCATAGCAGGAGGGCAAATACAATAGTTGAATACAACATAACACAAATTGTGATACAATGGAAACACCAACTAATTATAAAAAAAAAAACGTTAAACCCAACTTACGTACCAAAATCGCCCAATTAACGCACGCACTCGCTCAGCGTTGTTCGTAACAACACGTGATCTCCAACACACACGACGTGTTTTTTTTTTGCTTTTTTTTTAAACACGATAGTCTTTCTTGGGGACCTTCGACGCGAAAATTTTGGTCTGTTTGCCTGTACATTTGTCTGTTTGTCCACTCCTAAGTGCACCGGGTACTTGAAACGGCCGACCCCGTCCGTAGCACCCTCCAATGTTGCTCAAGATTTAGCGTTCATAACCTTGCAATTTTCAATTAATAAGCAAATATTGAGCAAGTCTGTGGCACCATACCAACGCGTACTTATTTCCCTATAGAAATAATTTATTAACAAATAAGTCAGAAAAGTGGTGCCGCATTCCGTTCGCTTAAAGCACGCTCTGTTAAGCTGCGCAGTAAACAGGCGCAATTGACGCATGCGGGCTGGGCGAGGTCCGTCTTTTGTTCGTCCATGAAAGCTGCACGCTCTCTTGTGACGTCTGAACAGGGGTACAACTCCTGCGCAGTTCAGTTTAGGCATTGGGAAGACGGGGGGGGGGGGGGGGGACTACGCATAGAGACACAGCTTTTTTGTTTTCGGTGGTTTTCTTTTACGTCTTCATCGGCAATTGTAGGCGAGGACGATCCAGTAAAAGCGAGGGTCGATTATTTCTTTGTACTC